TTCCAGTTTACTATTTCGTTTTCAGCTTTTTCATCTTGAATGAATATGAAATTGTCGATTCTATTGAATCCATTCTGTCGACTTCAAACATATTGGGTTGGGGAGAATGAGTCGGCGCCGAAAATCAAAAAAATCCTCTACAAAATGACATTTAAAAGAAAATTCAAACTGCGCCTCCGCTCAAGAAAAAGCCATTTTTTCACAAAAACTACAAACTGTGATCTAGAAAACCATTGGTGGGATCTTCCTGCAAATTTGGCAACTTAAGTAATTGAATGTGCTCTATCTTTTTTATATAAACACCAAAGAAGGTTTATGTGAAAGAAACTGTTCAAATGATGAGTCGGACTCTTTGCCATTTTAACCAGCTGCGTTTCGAGTTCATAAACTCCCACGAAAGAAAAGCTTTGTGGAATCTCTCAAAAGTTATTTTGTAGAGAAATAGTGGATCCTTTTGATGAAACCAAACGTATGTTTAAAGAAGGCTTTATGTGTGCAAAGTCCCTTTTAAAGTTGGGCGCCGACTCATTCTCCCAACCCAATAAGTGGGTAAATTCTTAAGAATTTTCGTTGAGAACTCAATTTTAACCATTTTCAAAGCCTAGTTTAGAAGCCAACTCAACTTGTCAGTCGTATCAACGACCAATCGTCTTCTATTCTCGACAAAAGGATTCAAAATTGTCTTTCCCAGTTTTGCTTCTGGTTTTATTCTTATTTTTTTTTTTGAAAAAATAGTTTCAGGTTTCCTTTGGCACAGCTTGGTTGTTCTATATTGTTTGGTTGACTTTTCACTATGCAAATTCAGTGAAAAAGACTGTCAGTCAACAAACGAAAGAAATGATTCAATATCTGCAAATTGTTTTCTTTTTGCAGGTTATAGAAGTAGATTACTTTTCGATCTTCAATCTTTTTCAGTCCTTTGCTCTGCTCACCTTTTTGATTCTGCCATCAGTGCTGGGGACGTTTAGTGTGTGGAATTTGCTTCCGATTGAAAACATTTGTAAGTTGTGCAAGTCTTAAATCATTGCCACTTATCAAAACTTATAGTTCTCTCTTCACTGGCTTTGATTCCAAGTTTTCATTCGTCTTTCAATTGTCTCATTTTGATCTTCTTTTAACAAGAGTTTATCGAGAATATGTGATTGAAAAGATATTTGGGAAAGGAAGAGTGATGAAGTGGAGGCTGTTATTGTAGCCGATTTTATATTGGGTTGTCCAGTTATGAATGCGCGTTTTTTACTATTTTGTAAATTCGCAAGATACCGAAATCAAGAAAAAGATTTATATGAGTATTATTCGAAAGCTTAAGATCTCCTCTACATTTTGATATAAAATGTTTTTGAATTTGTTCAGCTTTTGGGCAAATTGACTGCACAGAAGAAGAGGTGGCCAAAAAATGGAAAGGTGCCTTTGGATCAAGTTTTGGCTCCGCTCAAATTGAGTTAACCGTTTGATGTTTGGTCAATAGATATATCAATACAACTTTTTTTAAATATAACAATTTCAGAGCACCTTTACTTTTCTTTTCTTTTCTGGGCGGTTATTTTACACCATAAAACTTGAGGAATAGCTAAGCTGAAATGGGTTTTTTCGATAACGACCTCTCCCTTTGTGCAGTCAATTTCCCAAAAACTGAACAAATTCAAAAACTTTTATATTTCAAAATGTAGAGGAGATCTTCAGCTTTCGAATGATATATAACACTCATATACATCTGTTCGATATCTTGAGAAATTTACAAAATAGTAAAAACGCGCATTCATAACTGGACAACCCAATAATTACAGCGTACTTTTAGACAAACTTCCGACAATTCCTGTCTTACCTGCGCCTCTAAAATGAAATGAAACGTTGATCTTTGAATTCAATTGATCCATAGTTTTTTTAAAGAAAAAAACTCTAATACAGGACTGGATTGATTGATGGCTGAATTTTTTCCTCATTTTATTCGGAGATTTTACCAAAGCGAAAGTCACAATTCACTTCATTTCAACGACGTTTAATTTCCGTGAGATAAACGTTTAGTTTATTTGAGTCCAAACGAGTTTCATAGGTGTGAGCACCAAAGTTTCGAGAACAAAGCATACAGGGCGAAGCCAGAAAGCCAAATAAGCCGTCCCCATATGCGTCTAGATTCTCCTAGACATTCTCCTAGACAAAAATGGCCTATGAACATAATAAGTAGTGACCATTAGGAATCATGAAAATTTGTATTTATTTCTCTAGATCGATCCTGCTTTTTACAGGACATAAAAGAAGGCGTGTAGGCAATAATATTGAGATAAATTAAGTCCAGTTTGGAAAGAAAGTGAATGCTTTAAGTGGCATGTGTATGTCTCTCTTCAAATAAAGCAATCCGCTATTTGAAAACACACTTTTTCTTTCATCGTTTTGCAAAGTGATGCAAAAATTTTGGTGATTGTGGTTGGCTTCTTCAAAAGACAACTTAATTTCAATATTCAATTCCTTTCTTGAATAGAATAGTCCATGGAAAAGGCGAAGGTTTCTAAAGCTCTTGTTGACTTGCCAAAACATGCATGGCGAATTGATAAGTCTCAGAGTTTTAGCTGCTTTAGAGTAGATTTGAAAGGGAAAATGTTACATTCGAATTTGATTTGGGCAGAAGATCCAATTTCTAACTGAAAAGCTGTTGAAAATAAACTGAAATCTTGCCTCGAAAAGTCAAATAAGAAACTTTTCAAATCAATACTCTTATTTGAGAATTTACTAGCAAAGTTTGCTTGTAAAGGAAGAATCTAGGAAAAGGAAAACGGATTTCAGAGCAACCATTGGGTGCAGAAGCTGGAAAAGATTGCCAAGGCGGGAATACCCGGTGGAAGTGCTGCAGAGATTTGTAGACAAATCGAGCTCAATGACGTGTTTGAATAAGCTTTTCTCTCTCTCTCAACTTTGATACAAAGTGTGCAAAGAGAGTCGTGCCCGGTGGGTCGTAGTTGCAAACCAAGTAAGTGGATCCATCTCGACCTGTCGCAATGCCAACACCCAGTGATTTTGAACCCTGTGAGTCGTATGTTAAAAATCTCTTCTACGGTAAATAAATGATAAACTCTAGAATCATGTGAAAAGTATTAACCCGCCAGACGAGTTGAGTGAAGTGTCCAGTTGAACCAGAGAACCCGCCCCAACCAAAAGAATAGCTTCGCACCTCGTCGTACCAACCCTTCACCAGACTTTGCACTAAATTTTAAAGATTCAAAAAGATGCCGATTGAATTTGAAATCATTATCTAGGCCTTACAGATCTTTATCTTTCAATAATTCCTGGCTGTTAAACTTTTTCACTCACTTGTCCCATAGTGTCCACTGCCCATTGCAAGATTCTCTCCATATCGATTGTTGGATCGATGATTAAATGAGCCAGTCGATGCTAGACGGTTTGCCCACTCTTGTGCAAAACTAAAAAAAAAACAAAACTCGAGTTAGAAAACGTAAAGGCGTTCACTTATTGAGACTATTGTTGAGTTTCAGTGGGCCGACTTGATGCTGGGCTCGATAGTAATTGTGAAGATCGAGAACCTGAGTTATCGTTTCAAGTTGTTTTAGCATCAGTTCTCAAAAGCTTTGTTGTTGTCCTATTTTATTATAGAAACCGTTGTGAAATCCTGTTCTCCAAAGCATTCTCTCATCGTTAAAAAAAAAAGAAAGTTTATACGGAATGTGTTTCTTTTTTAGCAAAGAAAAGAAAACTTTCATGAAAAGTAGTGCTTGATTTAAAATCAAGAGCTTGCATAATATTTAAGTAGGGCAAGCGCACTATCCACCAAGTTACGAGCACACTTTTGATATGCCTCAACGAGATCTCTTTCCTGAAAATTAGTGCGAAATCCGATAAAAGCTTTCAATCATTAACTTTGAGGCCATTTTTTACCGATTTCCACAAACCTTTTCGTGGTTTTGTACAGGGTAAATTACCCGCGCTTAGTTCAAATTCACATTTTGAACTTTGATCCCGAATCGAAATTCATTGTTTTCTAGTAAGAATGAGCTAGATTTTGGAAATAATAAGTAAAACGGAGTAAATGAAGCTGCTTTTCTTTGATTTTGAGCCATTAAAACTAGTTACAAAAACCAGAAAATCTCGATTTTACCGCAGGAGACGCGTGTTGCAACTTTACAGCGCTCTAGCAAGAGTTTTTTGTGATGTCCTCCAAGAACTTAGGATCCACCTTGAGAAGTGATTATGAGGATGGTTCGTGTAAGCATAAAATACCTCTTGTACTGATTGCTCTTCTGATTGCTCTTCTTCTTCCCCATCTTCTTCCACATCATCTTCCTCACTTTCATCGTCTTCCTCACTTTCATCCTCTTCCTCATCTTCATCTTCTTCCTCATCTTCGAATTCTTGAACTTGATTCCTATTTTTCTGCTCTCCTCCTTGTCGCACTCCATTGACTGTCACAGTGACTGTTCCATCTGGATGATAGGTTTTCACCGTCACCGTCTTCACTCCATTACAGATTTCAGTCATCATCTCGGTTCGAGTGCCACCTCCGCCTGGAAACAGAATTTTGCTAAACAGAATGCTCGCGCTAAGACACAACATCCTGACAAGGGAAGGTCAACTATATTTGATGGCCAAATCATATGAGCCATACCATTCGACGCAGAATTTAACGCTGGCTATGATGTCTTTCTTTTTTGCTAGACGGAAAAAGACAATCAGCAACCAGACTCGAACAGGAGAGCCTTCGACTTGTCCCCTAACTCACTACCACTCGGCCACTGCTGCAACTGCTGAGCTCACGGAAACCACGGTTGTAATGTAAGGAGTTTTCGAAACTTTTTGCAAAACTTTAAACGCGTAAAACTTTTGACAGAGTGCTCCGTAGCAAAAAAGAAAAGCAACATCATGATCGACGTGAAATTCTGCGTCGAATGGCCTTTGGCTAGCAAATCCAGTTGGCCTTCCCTTGTAAGTAAATACACTTCTAGTGCTAGCCAGAGAATCCAGACAATTGTGACAATCTCTCTTACAAGCTCATTCCTTCTCAGTTTAGTCTAGGACAATGAATGCAATAGACTGAAGCTGAAGAAACTTTTTTTTAGCTGATGATAGATGGGACCGATTAAAAGTACTATAACCCACATCCGCCCATTGACAATTGGTTCATTTGCTGTTGCATTTGCTGTTGCATTTGTTGTTGCATTTGTTGTTGCATGGGACAGGACATTTGGTTCATTTGCTGTTGCATCGGACAGGTGCTGAAGGTCCGTCGGCTACACATTGTTGCAGAAGAGAAGTTAGTTGTGGTTGAAAGTGAACTGAATTCAATGCTCTCCACTGATCCGTGCTTTCTTATATTCTTGTTCGTCTTATCTTTTTATATCGCAAAGAACAGCGGCCCCATTTGGCACGCCACAAAAGGCTTTTGAGATGGCACTAGGAGAGGGCAATAAAGAGTCCAGTTAAATCGAATAAAAAATTCGTTGCGCCACCTCTGATTCCGTCTTCTCCGAGAATCTTTTTTCGTTGTGGCAAGTATTTTCTTTTTTCCAGGAATTCTGCTCAATTGTGTTGCACTTTTCAGTTCTCTACAAATAGGGAATTGAGCGTAGCAAGACAAAGAAGATGAGTGTTGATTTGAAGAGTTCATTCCATTTAAAACAATATCTTTTACTGTTTCAATAAATCCAGATCAATCAATTGCAACAAAAAAGGAATGAGAATTCTTGGGAAAAAGTTTTAAATAAAAGTTAAACGTTTGTTTAGTTAAAAATAAAGTCATAGCTTTTTAGTTAAAATTAATTAGAAGATATGGGATCAAAAATGCTCCTCAAGATTAATAAAAAAGAAACTAAAAGATTGACTTTCGATAAAAATTAATATTCCAAACATCTAATAGAAAAAAGTACGGTAAAAACATTCCGCTAAAAACAGAATTGCGAATTTTCAAAATTGATAAACTTAGAGCATCATCGGGTTCGAGCATCAGAACTTAGAGCATTATTAGAGGGAGCCTTCAAGAGCCTTTCTTAATTTTTTGAATGTTCAATGTCGAAGATCTCAAAAGGTATTCTCTACAGTTAACAAACTTTTCTATTCTTGCTGATGTCCAGCAATTAAAATGCAAATTAGGTTTGATTCAGAGACGATTTCATTTTCGAATTTTCGTTGTCATGTTGCAGAATGACCTTCCCTTTCTTTGGCCTTTTTCTTTACAACTTCAGCAGCGAGCCGATTTAGCTGATTAGTGTATAATAATACTGTAATGGTTGTCCCTTTAGATAGCAACTCCCAGTGAATAGGCCCCAGTTTCCAAGCTTTCACACTTTGCTGAAATTCTGTAGGAAGGGCAGGATGAGTTTTCCGGTTTCGTTTGATTTGATTGTTTGATTTTGCACTGTTAAAAACAATTTTTCCGTTTATTTGTCAATCAAAGCTCATTTATCAATTTCCGCGTGTCGCATTTGTGGTTTTGATCTAGAAAAAAGATTGTTTTCTAAATGTGAACAGTCTCAGAATTTCACCAACCTTCAAGCTGCTCGTCAGGCAATCGTTCCTTATCTTTCCTGTTTCGACGATCTCTCTGAAGATGTTTATACAGGCTAAGACAAAGGTTCGCATGCTTTTTCTCTAATTTTGGTCCAGAACAAGACCGTATCAAAGTAGGCGGGAGGCAAAGAAAGAAGAGAAAAAGTGAGGAGAGGCAGGGAGGAGCCAATGGGATAGAAATACTTTGTACGGGCCTTGTTGGGGATTTTGTTTAATCATTCTAATTTTAATCATAAAAAAAAGTTTTGTTTGATTGGGCTGTTCCAAAAGTCTTTTCGCTCTTTTTCGTCTTTCTATTGGGTTGGGGAGAATGAGTCGGCGCCGAACTTTAAAGGGACTTTTTGCACACATAAAGCCTTCTTTAAACATACGTTTGGTTTCATCAAAAGGATCCACTATTTCTCTACAAAATCACTTTTGAGAGATTCCACAAAGCTTTTCTTTTGTGGAGTTTATGAACTTCCAAACGCAGCTGGTTAAAATGGCAAAGAGTCCGACTCATCATTTGAACAGTTTCTTTCACATAAACCTTCTTTGGTGTTTATATAAAAAAGATAGAGCACATTCAATTACTTAAGTTGCCAAATTTGCAAGAAGATCCCACCAATGGTTTTTTCTAGATCACAGTTTGTAGTTTTTGTGAAAAAATGGCTTTTTCTTGAGCGGAGGCGCTGTTTGAATTTTCTTTTAAAAGCCATTTTGTAGAGAATTAGTTAACCATTCTACTCATATCAAACGCATATTATTTGACGAAGTCGAATTGAAGTTTTAGACATTTTTTTGATTTTCGGCGCCGACTCATTCTCCCCAACCCAATATCTTTAGGTCTCTGAGAGTCGAGGGATCTAAGTGAAAGGAGTCTTTGTTTACTTCGCTTCGATATTATTGGTTGCCCAAATGAAATGCTGTTTTATTATTTTTATTTTTTGTTTTCTTTAGAAGCTACCGAAAATCTACCCATGACTCATATTCGGCACTATTTTTCGAAAAAATCAATAGTCTTTTTAAGCTTTTTAAGCTATTCAAACGCTGCTTCTGAAGCCGAAATTAACAATTTTTACGGAATGGTTCAGTGACACAATGCACAATTCAAAACTGGTATCATCGTTTTAAAACTTAAAATTTCCTTTTCACCCGAAGATCAGCCAAGGTCAAGGCGCCCGTGTGACTTCGATGAAACGGCTCTACCTAATCTTATGAAGGAGGACAATAAACAAACAATCCGTCATTTAGCTCCACAACTACAGTGTGGTCATACAACGGTAGAAACCCATCTCCACGCAATGGACTACACTTCAAAATTTGAGATTGAATCCCACATGACCTCGCAGACCACATGAAACGGCAGCGACTCTCTATCTCTCTACACACGGTATTACCGCCGATCAACACGCGAGCACACACTGCGAAATTGACCAAAGAAAAGCTGATGGAGTTGAGCTGAGAGGTTCTCCCTGATCTTCCCATATTCTCCTGAATTAGCCCCATCGGATTTTCATCTTTTCTGTAAGATGGCCGCGGAATTGGAGAACGAGCACTTTAAAACCGTCGATGAAATCGAAAAATGGTTAAGTGACTTCTTTGATCGCCAGCCCCTCTCATTCTGGAAGAAGGGGATCCACGCTTTGCCATATAAATGGGAACAAGTGATACTTGATAATGTTGAATATATCTCATGAATAAATGTTTTGGCTTTCAAGAATTTACAATTCAAAAACTACGAAAAGCCTCAGCCTAATAGAAAAACGTTTTTTCAATCTCAAATTCATATCCCTAAACCTGAAAATTATTGACAAAAAGTCGCCATTTTTCTGAAGCTAAGGTGCTTTCCCTGTTTGTGGATTGTAATTTGTGAAATGAAAAAGAAACTCACACAATACCAGCCAAACCAAAGCACGCAGAGACAGAGATTTCCGAGTAAAACCAAGAGAATAATCGAAATCAGCACACTCCGTGAGCTGCCTATTTGATCTGTGTTTTGCCTAAAAAAGACTCCCAATACTGATCGCATCAAAAATCTTGCTCACGTGGCTGTTGCCCGGAAAAGTTGGACCTTCTCTGTTGTTCTGAATTATTTTTTCATTGATTAATGATTTTTTGATTTAACTTACGAGTATGGATCAGTTCTTGACTGATCGTTTGCTCTTGTTTTATTTGATGACATTGGGAATCTCCAGTTACTCGATCTCGATCTCCAGTTACTTTCAATTCCTTTCTGATTCCGATTTGTACATTTATTTCTAGAAAATGCATCGTTTTTTTGTTTTTGATCTGTAAAAAAACCTGAAGTCTCGGTTTTTGCTAGCAATATATGAGCACGAGACACAAATCGTGTTTTGCGGACCTTGACACGGAGCCTAAAGGGATTTTTGGCTTTTAATTTAAAGTCACTCGCAAAAAACTCGACAAGCTTGGCTGGAAACTTCTACCACATGCTTATTCTTCTACCACCTTATTCACCCGACCTAGCACCCTCAGATTACCATTTGTTTCGATCGTTAAAGCAGTTTCTCTATGGAAAACTCTTCGATGATCCTGCACAAGTCAAAAATGCACTTGATTTCTACTTTGCTCAGAAGGACGCTCAGTTTTTTGAGAATGGTATCTAGGAATTGCGCAAAAGGAAGAATACCTTTTGGATTAATGTTCTTTTTTTGCGTTCTATGAAATAAACAAGTTATTGTCTAAAACGATCGTTTATGACTTGCCAACCTAATACATTCGAATTTCATTTGTGCTGAATATCCGATTTATAACTGAAATCTTGTCTCGAAAAGTCAAATGAAAAACTTTTCAAATCAATAATTGGTTTGATTAATTGGCTTTAATCGCAATCGCTTAATCTTAATTAGCTTAATCGCTTTAATTACTTTAATTACTTTAATTACTTTAATCCAATCGCATTTCAGAATTATTGTGGCTTTGAGCTCTTAAAAGAATCTAAACTACTAAAGGAAATTAGAGTGTTCATTTGCAAAAGCAATGTCGCGCTTTCAGTACTTAAACAAACTTGATGTCTCAAAAAATCGAAAAGTTTTCAAGTGAATAAACAGCAGAAAGACATACCAACTCGTACTGGCCAGGCCAACACGTTTTGCAGCGTCGACAACGATATGTACCATCTTCGAACACTTCAATCCAAGTACCCTCAAAATAAATGCATGCTTTTATTTCATAAAAAAGCACACATATTTACACAATCCGGGAATTAGATCCTCGTCCAAAGGAAGATCATTTCTTCGGGCAGAGCTTGAAGTTGGATGGAAAATCTCAAAAGAACTGATCTATTTTTAAATGAAATAAATTTTTGTCCCAAATATCTTATCGTATCGATTGATTTCAAATTAAATATGTTGAAAAAAGTTTTTTTTTACCGTTTCGGGTGCCAAATTATCGACCATTACTTTTATGGAGTCCAATGTACTCAAAGGCCTAAAGAAAAGTTTGATGTCAGCGATTTCTCAGAAACTTTTAAATACACGGTGGCTAAAAAATTCTGATACCTTCGGAAACAGTTCTTTTTGATGGGAAATATTGAGAAACTTTTTAAACTATGGTGATTTTCAGATTCTCCACATATTTTTACATTATAAACCAAACTTTCAGCACACTAGCTCTATTCGGAAAAGTTTTACGCTAATTTCTTTCTGATGTGCGTTACTGCTCGTTGGTCGTACACTTATGGGCAACAAGGGGGAAAAGGAACGTCACTTATTTTACTATTTGTACCATAAAACCTCTTTTTTATTATCTTTTCTACTTAATTTCACTTTTAATATTAACTGAAAAAAGGTTTCATTAAGAAAAAAAGTACTGCAATATAATAGAATGGCACGCGACAAAATGGTACTTTTTATGTACTTAATGAATAGTTTTTCCCACATTAACATCTCATAAAATTTGATTTATATTGTAAAAATATGTGGAGAATCTGAAAATCAACATGATTTTAAAAGTTTCTCAGTATTTCCCATTAAAAAGAAATGTTTCTTAAGGTATCAGAGCTTTTGAGCCACCCTGTAGCAGCAAATCGAAAGAAAAAGGATTTTTCGATGAATATACTGTACATAAAAAGTGTTTACTTTAAAAAGACTATTGATCATTTGCAACAAAAAAGAGTTTTCAAAGCTGACCCGGAAAACCATAGTACACGAGGCGAATCCCTTCTCAATAGAGCCACACTTCCCTCCGGAAACTCAAGGAAGCTCTCTCGGTTTTCTGTCGTTTTCAGTGTCACCACAGTTAGATGCGGATTTTGATGATAAGTGAGAGCAAGCTAAAGCGACCAAATATGCTGCCTAAGTAGAGCATTTTCTAAGCTACTTTTACAAGTTGCACAACAGTGTTTGTTTATAACGTTTATCAAAGTCATCCTACCGCAGCTCCAAGGCTTGACGTCTCATTCTGTTTCAATAACAAGAGATAGTTACCACGAATTTTGGTCCAAAGAATCGGAAGAGGTTCTTTGCTAAATTGTTACTTTACTCACGACTCAAGTTCTTCTAACTCGGAAATCAAAGAAAAGACTGGCCAGTCTGGTGCTTGATGTTGTTCAGCGTCTTTCATTACGAGCTCTGCCAAATCGAGAGGCAAAGTAGTGATATTTCGATAGGATCCCTGATATTCTTTGGCGTCTTCTTTTGTTGTGGCGTTGTATGGAAAATACTAAATTATTTGCTTGTTGAAATATTGGGTCAATGCATATTAAATGGCTAAATTTTTCCAGATTTCCTCAACCAGTTATCAGATTTCAAAAAGTTCTTTTATGTTTTGTTGCTTGTGAAGAGTTATGCAATAATTTAGCAAAGGTTTTAGCTGTCGAACAAACCATTTCAAGCAATCAACATTCTCATGGGCGTTTTCATTAAAAAGCTAAATCATTAAAGAAATCCCAGGCTTTATCGCTTCAAATTCTTTTCAAAACTCAAAAACATATTGATAAGAATTCAGTGAAATCTTTGAATAGAAGCATGTTGATTAAAAAAATATCGAATTAATAGAACTTTAGCACAAAAGAAGATCAAAGTTGAGTTGACTCAAATGATCGAAAAGTTTCTCCATCATTTCATGTCAAATAAAAAAGTTGCTCTCTGTTATTATTAGGTTGTTCGGATATAAACGAGCGTTTTAGTAGTCGACAAAATCTACCTTAAAAACAGAAACAACACAGTTTAATCCAAAGTATATTCACCATTATTATTGATTACTTCTTGCCATCTTTTGCGCAAAAAATTGATGCCGCTCTTGAAAAACTCAGCCGGCTGAATAAGAAATTATCCGTTTAAAAAAGTTTTCAAATATGCGCAATATAACGTACTTTTAAATACAGAAAGATATGTTTTAAAAGCTTCTCTCACAACAAAAAGTTTAGCAACGCTTGTTTATATCCGAACAACCTAATAGCTTAAGATTATCACTTTTCATTCAAACAAAACACAAATTCGATAGAGTTAGATAGAATTAGATGCTCTGGTAGAGAAATTTACATGAATTAACCATTTCATAAGCATTCACCCAATAATTTTGAATCCATGAATATTGCGCGGCTTTGTAAAAATGAAAATTGCGCCGTATGGAATTACCATTTACGAGCGCCTTCGCTTTGTGCGAGTCTGGTATCAAAATATACCCCTTCAAATGGGCTACACGATGGTATAAAAAAACTTTTAGAAAAACTCGTGTTTAATACAAGAAAAATGGTCGCAAAGTGAGCGCACCGAGGAGTGAGAGCAGTGAGAGCAAAGGTACAGCGCAATACTAACAACGACCTATCGTCTTCCCATAATTTTATGGTATACACGGCTATACAGTAAGCAACAGTTCGTTCGGGTGGTTGGGCTCTACTTTATTCGGCCAGTTAACTCCATTTGGAGTAAGGGGGGTCGAGAGCGTTGTGGTGGAATGGTTGCTCGATAAGCGAAAGATCGCGGTTCAAGTCCCGGCGACGCACGAGTTTTTCATCTACCCTAGTTCCAACTAGCCGATTTTAAGACAAAATTGAAAAATTCAAATTTCATAAAACTAAATCTACTCATATTTACTAAGACAAACCCTAAATGATGGATAGCTTCTGACGTGTTCTTTACACAGACGCCCATTCTCATCGCAATTCACAACAGCCACTTTCACAATGGATTTCCAATCTCCGACCTCTCTAGAGAAATTTGAAAATGTTTAAACAATTGGGAGACTTTTTAAACCTGGCAAATTCGTTGTATATTGGCGCATAGCTCGAACAAACACTACACCAAGGAACGTAGAAGTGGACAAAGGTGGCGCTTTTCTTAATTTAGTCAATTTGCTCCATTTGCTTGCTCCATTTCAATCGATCATATGATAGAAAGCATAGAAAAAGCGAATAAATTTGGTGCAAATGAATTTTTTTTTGGATTTTCTTCTGCATGCTAACCTGTCCATAAACGGTTTCATCAAAGTTCTCTCGGTTGAGAATCGTGACTGGATCCGCACCATCGTAGAGACGATAGAGTTCACAGTTTGTGTTCTAAAGTTTAGATTCTTTTTTTCAAAATACCGTATTTTCTCTACTAGTAAGAAACCCTGAGCGTCGACTCGAAATCTCGAAAAGCGTTTATCAGAACCTATCGATGTGGGACCGGAAAAAGTAGCTGACGATGGGTGCACTCTCTCTAATTTTGGTTCCTTAACTCTCTAAATTTGGTTCCCTATCTCTCTAGATTTGGTTCTTTACCTCTAGAGATTTGGTTCCTTATCTCTAGTGCGGGATTAGAGTGTTGAGCTTCTGCAAAAGCTTGGAAACCGTAAAATCGTCTCCAACTCGGCTGGGGTGCACTACTATCAGAGAAATTACGGTAATTGTTTTTTTAAATCTCTTTTTAGCATCAACGAAATAAGCAAAAGCCTATTTTAAAGGTAATCTCACTTAAACTTTACTTTACAATGATTGCAATTACAATGAAAACTTTACAATAGTTCTTACAATGGTTCAGGTTCTAAAAGATCATCGATCTCTTATAAAAGATCACTTTTGCTTTAAAAAAACAAACCTTTAAAAAGAGAAACAAAAAGAAAACCGATAAAATCATTTGTTCAGCTCTATTAAAATGTAACGAATAATTTCACAACTTTTTTTTTGCGGCAATCTTTCAATGGCTCTTCGAAATAAACCCCCTGATAACAAACAATCGATTTGGAACAAGAAAACAAAGTTTTTTTTGATGTAAATGCTCTTTTTTAATGTTTAAAAAGTTCTAGATTTTATTTATTAGATTAGAGTTGATTGTATGATCTCACAAGTTGACTTTCTTCTTCTTCTTCTGCTTTAGTAGTAGAGGAAATAGTAGATGAAATTTCAAGAAACTTTGAGGAGATAAACATTATGAGAGTCTTGTTCACAATAAATAAATTCAAACTTGAAAACAAGACCAATTTTAGGCTCATACACCACAGCCATTTTAATATTGATGTCAAAATCTTTGAATAAAAAATGTCAATCAAAAGCTTGCTTCTTAAAAGCTGTTCATTAAATGATTGGTAAATGATTCTACATAGAAAAGATTGGTGTCTAAAAATGAAAACATCAAGGAAAAAAATCAGATTCAAATAAGATCCAATAGGTAATTAATGACGACGATTATCGAAAAGGTTAAGCCGATAAGGCTGCGCCTCTGCTGGATTTTGACAAAGCAAGTTCGGGTCAACAAATCGATGACTAAGACCATTTGGAGATGGCCAATCACTCTGATTGAAGGAAAATAACTGTTTTGTTCAAAAAAGAGAATGGATTATAGTTGACGGGAATACAAGGTATTGTTGTAGCCTTGCGTTGAACGTTGGTTTGGTGGGATTGAGCAGCCCATCATCAGTGAGCTCAGGTCGTTTGTTGACTGACCTAAAGCCATACATACCTTTTTCAAATAAAAATGCAAAATACCGGCTCTAGAGCTATCGTAACCCTTGCGCACCCTCGCAACTAATGATCTCCCCACTCAGAAACCCCTTGATCAGACCATCCTTTCGATGAATCAGACTATCCTTTGAATGATCCATAAAAGGTGCCTCTCTAGAATATGATTAGAAAATAATTGGATTGGAGCAAATGATTGGAGCAAATGATTGGAGCATGAAAGGAAACGGGATTCGAGAACTGCTTGCTTCTGGACACGAACTGGTTATAGTCATTTTCGGTCAGGTCTGCTAAAGCAAAAGCTTTAGTCTTCTAAAAATCTGCTCACGCACTCTTTTATTTGTTAGATTTTCCAATCCAAGAATTTTAATCATTGCTGCTTAACGAGACCGGGTCACATCATGATTAGCAGACCTGACCGAAAATGACTATAACCAGTTCGTGTCCAGAAGCAAGAAGTTCTCGAATCCGGTTTTCTTTCATGCTACAATCATTTGTACACGAAAACCAGACCAGTTTTTCCTTTCTTTTTTATATAATTTGTAAAAATTAGACTCAATTTCAAAGTCAGAAACTCTCGCAAAAACTTTCTCGTCACTTTATGATTCTAGGGTAACTAGAAAAGCTAGATGAGTAAATAACTACAACTTAACTGAATTAGAGTCAAAAATTTAGGCAATAAAACTTCTCTAAAAGCTCACCGCTCTCGCTTGCGAAATGTGTTGAAAGGGCCGATTTCCAGTGACCTTTTCAACATAAAAAAATGGAATCCTTTCACTCTGCATAGGATCCGAAATGAAACGTTATACCCAAGCCGTTTTTGAATTTAAAATTCTAATAAAAAGGTAAAACATAAAAATCTGATTCCTGAAAAAAGGATCAACCAACACATAGGTGAAAACACAATCAACCAACCAACACAACACACAACTCACAACCTTTGGAATCATGACTCATTTCTCAGCTTAGTGACAGAGAATCTTTGGTCGATCAGGTTAAAAGATTCACACTTGCCTTTTTTACGCACAAAATTCTTTCAAAAAATTGTTTGATCATAAATATCATAAAGCATGATTAGAATCCATTTTCATCCTCCGTCACAAAACAGGCTAAGAAAGATTTGCGCTCGTATCGAGAAAGATGAGTGGCACTGATTTCTGACACGTTGCCATTTCTGGGTGTTCGTTAAATCATGTGGAATCCCTAATACGGTTTAAACCCAAATGTATGCAATGTTCGAGTATTATTGTATGATCAACTGATAACTCTTCTGCTATTTTACAAAAACAAAGCCTTTTGTTGGTTTGAAAAATTTTGAGCAACTTGGCATTATTTTGCTGAGCTGCCGAACTCAATTTGTCTTCGAAGATTCATCCCCAGAACGGAATTTAACAAACCAGTTTGCACATGTCCGTAGTGAAGCTGATCCTTCCACATCAACATCCCCAATATTAACTGAACAATAGAGGCCCATGTGTCCTTGAAGAAATTCGTACAACATAACTTGTCGCAGATCTCCAGGTCGTAGATCTTCAACAGTTAGAGAAAAGTATAATAAAAATTCCAAAAATAAATATGTCAAAAGTGAAAGTCTATTGTTTTTGCAAGGTTGTTCACTTATCTATTTTCCACAAACCCCTCTCCTTCATCTTTGTTTACATCTCTCGAATTTAATTTGAAAAAAAAACGTGCCCAGTCATGTCTTACCATGAAATTTATCTTTGTGGACAAGTTTACAAGGAAATTACAGGGCTTATAGGGGCGGTCAATTGGGCTGTTTGCACGTACTCTGTATATGTATTCTTTGGTCGGTCGGCTATGAACTGTTTCGTCGATTTTAGTCTGCAAAAACTGATTGATCTGCACCAATCAACCAGGGTTGAATAGGCGATCAGTGTTTAGTTTAGCAATGAAGCTTTATTTCTGTACCTCACGTCATTTCTCGCCTATCGTTCTGTTTAACAAGCGACAATGCACAGGATATACACTAACCCAACTATTTTTTGAAAAGAAATTCAAAGAAAGAAAATCAATTTTACCAGAAACTTTATCAATAATTTGTAGCAAACAAAGTAAAAAGTTTACAACGGAGAAGTTTTTCTGAATAGATTAATCCATTTGAATGAAGATATTACTTTTGTCATTGTTGCACTCCATTGACTTTCACAGTGACTCTTCCATCTGGATGATAGGTTTTCACCGTCACCGTCTTCACTCCATTACAGATTTGAGTCATCGTCTCGGTTCGAGTGCCACCTCCGCCTCCGCCTGGAAACAGAATTTTGCTAAACAGAATGCTCGCACTAAGACACAACATCCTGACAAGGGAAGGCCCAGCTATATTTGCTGGCCAAATCATATGAGCCATACCATTCGACGCAGAGTTTCACCCTGCTGATGATGCCTTTCTTTTTTGCTAGACAGAAAAAGACAATCAGCAACCAGACTAGAACAGGAAAGCCATCGACTTGTCTCCTAACTCACTACCACTCGGCCTCTGCTGCAAATGCTGAGCTCGCGGAAACCACGGTTGTAATGTAAGGAGTTTTCGAAACTCTTTGCAAAACTTTAAACGCGTATAACTTTTGACAGAGTGATGGGACTGATTAAAAGTACTATAACTCACATCCGCCCATTTGCGACATTTGGTTCATTTGCTGTTGCATTTGCTGTTGCATTTGCTGTTGCATTTGATGTTGCATTTGCTGTTGCCTGGGACAGGACATTTGGTTCATTTGCTGTTGCATAGGACAGGTGCTGATGGTCCGTCGGCTGCACATTGTTGCAGAAGAGAAGTTAGTTGTGCTTGAAAGTGAACTGAATTCAATGATCTCCACTGATCCGTGCTTCTTATATTCTGGTTCGTCTTATCTTTTCATATGGCAAAAAGCAGCGACGCCGTTCGGCGAGCCACAAAAGGTTTTTGAGTGGGCATTAGGAGAGGGCAATAAAGAGTCCAGTTAAATCGAATAAAAAATTCGTTGCGCCACCTCTGATTTCGTCTTCTCCGAGAATCTTTTTCGTTGTGGCAAGAATTTTACTTTTTTCCAGGAATTCTGCTCAATTGTGTTGCACTTTTCAGTTCTCTACAGCAAATATACAATGAGAATTGATAGTAGCAAGACAAGGAAGATGAGCGTTGATTTGAAGAGTTCATTCCATTTGAAACAATATTTTTACTGTTTCAATAAATCTAGATCAATCAATTGCAACAAAAAAGGAATGAGAATTCTCGGGAAAAATTTTTAAAGAAACGTTAAACGTTTGTTTAGTAAAAATAACGTTAAAGTTTTTTTATTTAAAATTAATTAGCGAAAAGATATGGGATCAAAAATGCTCCTCAAGAGAAGATTAATAAAAAAGGAACGAAAGTGGTTGACTTTCGATAAAAATTAATATTCTAAACTCCTTCAACAGACTTTCTTAATTTTTTGAATGTTCAATTTCGAAGATCTCAAAAAGTATTCTCTACAGTTAAAAAACGTTTCTATTCTTGCTGATGTCCTGCAATTAAATTGCAAATTATATTAGGTTGGCAACTTAATAATGACGCGTTTATGTAACAAATCATTTATTTCAAAAAACACAAAAGAAGAGCTTTCAATTCGAAAGGTATTCTCCATTAGTATCTATGACTCCTTCCCATCTTCTGCGCAAATCCCGGATCCCATCCTCGAAGAACTTGGGAGTTTTTGAGGCGAAGTAGTCATTCACTGCTTTTATGACCTGAACATGATCATCGAACTTTTCTCCCTCCAAAAAGTGCTTCACCGACCGAAACAAAAAGTAATCTGAAGGAGCCAGATCAGGTGAATAAGACGCGTGGGGCAAAACTTTCCAGCCAAGTTCCTCGATTTTCTTATAAGTGATCTTTGCAGTGTGAGGTTTTGCGTTGTCGTGTAAAAATCTGACTCTCTCCGGTTTGAGCCCCAATTTCTTCAGAGACTCGTTAACTCTCATTAATTGCTTCGAATAAAGATCAGCATCGACGGTTTGGCCAGGTTTCAGCACTTCATAATGCACCAATCCCTTGAAGTTCCACCAGCAACAGAGCATTATCTTCTTCCCATGGACATCAGGTTTGGGAGTGGTTTGAGGGGTCTGCCCAGCAGATAGCCATCGATTTTTGCGTTTAACGTTCTCGTAGTTGATCCACGTTTCGTCAGAAGTCAAAACCCT